TAGCTGCATGATGGGGTGATTCAGTTGCAGGCATGAGCCGAAGGTGAGTACAGCAGATCAGCTGTGATGTTGTCTGTGATAACTCAGAATGTTGAGCGTTCTATTGCTTCTACACAACAAAGCAAATTAAAGAAGCCCAGAGTATTGTATCAAATACACTTTAGTATTGGCAGTTCCTTCTGCCCAATAAAGTAGTTCAATTGATCTGTCAGTCTGTAAAGCATTTCTTAGCCCATCTTGTTTGTTGAAGCTAATTCCAGTTTTTTAGTCTTTCCACCATCACAGCTGGCGACTGAAAAAGCCTAGTTAAGGGCCACGACATTCGGTATTTGATTTAGTCCTGCTGTCACACTCTTCTTCAGAATCTGACCAAACGGGCTGCAGCTCAAATGTTAACTTATAGATCTAATGTATTCTTTTCCTGTGCCAAACTGGAAACATAATAAGGCTTAGCTGCAGCTTAGCAATCGTCGCTCACTGGAATGATACAGTTAATGTGAAAAAATGTGCAGCCATCACAAAGAACAGCGTGAGTAGAATGTTCATCAACCAATCAGACTGTGAAACGTATAATAATGCTAAAATGAACCACTCTGTAATCCACATGCACCATGCTATACTTATTGTAGTGCTCAATAAATGACTCAGTTTAATTGATCTACGCAGATCGATCAGCCTCTGAAGGACAGCATGTACTGTTCCAGATGCTGCTCCAATCTACTGAGTCTCTTTATACACACATTCTCTTTCAGGCAGAACAGAATAGGAGACAGAGAGCACCCCCCCCCCAACCCAACCCCCACCTTCACTCTGACACACATACATGCAGAAAATTGCGTGTGGTGCACACGCACACACACGCACACACACACTCACATGCGCACACACTGACACAAAATAACCTCACTAATCTTCTTCTCAATGGCTTAAAGCAGCTGAAGAAGCTTAATAATTGAAGAGGAAAACAGCATCAGTGCTTTTAAGGACATATGCACACAGATTAGCCCCTAGAATGAACAGCATAATAAAAAAGCAAATCATAATAATAAAAAGTGGATCCCAACCCTTATCCCAAATTTAAAATGTTTTTTTTTAATCCAAAATACCCAGGCAAATGCGCTGCTAAGCAACAAACAAAGGCCTTCAGTAAAAAAGGCAAAAAGCTTTCCTTATGAATAAAAGTGCAACTATTCTAGCATTGTTTGCCCTATACTAAATGACCATATCAAAGCCAAATTTCACTCACTTATTTTTAAATAAGGAAGTTTGAAGTAATATGTAAACACTGTCAAAGTTTCAAAATGTACCATTCACTCCAGTCCATACAGTCCTTATATGAAAACTAAGCTGTAAAAAACAGCTTGTTTTGAATGAAATGTTTCTGTGATGTCACACGAGCTGATTCATTTACATATATCCACCCATTCAGCCTACAGCATACAACAGTTTAGCCCTGCACAATCATACTGAAGTCCTAAGGAGTGTTTTACCTCTGAAGGCTTTTTGAATGAGGCACAGTACAGGGCAATCAGAAAAGGGGCAATCAGAAAAGAGGTCATTTCCATAAGACAGTCTCAAAGGCACAGTAACAAAACAAACTATTTAAATCCAAGGAAAATAGTCATAAGAATGAATTATGACTGTTTTTGGTGCATAAAACTACAAGTTAACTGTTATAAGTGAAAAAAATGTAATGCAAGAAAAATTTAGGATATGGGCCCTTTAAATCAGAATATTTTTAACATGCATGTGTTTCCAAAATCAAATTTATACAATTTACCCCTTAACTTCCCCCTCCTTATTTATTTAGTTTCGCACTGCATCAATGCTAATGTAACCAAGATGCAAAATACAGGGGGGACCTGGGGGGTCCGAGACCTCCTAATTAACCTCTGCTAGGTCCCTGAAAATAAACTTATTATGACGCTTTGTCATCTGTTAGGGAAAGGTCATTGTTTAACCTGCTTCGCACATGAAATGGCGAGCACCTGTCTTTGATATTGTTAATCAGCTAGTGATACAACTCTGGTTTGCCTCAGGGTGGCGCTGTAACAAATTGCCAACGCTGGAGTAGCCAGCCAACTGGGGACACCCCAAATACCAGGGGGTTTTTCTCACACTGAATGTTACCAACAAGTAATGGAAGCTTCAAGCAACCAGTTGGCATGAAAGCATGGAGACCACTAAAATGTGCACAACAGGGGGTCCTGCAGGACCAGAATTGAGAACTCCAGGCCTAAATCATCACACACTCGCCTCACACTATGTCATGCATTTAATTTATTCTATATAAACTTGGTCATATGGTTTCTAACCCTGTATGACATGCTGTTATCTATAAAAATGGACAAAGATGTTACATGGTTAAAAATCAGAAATATAGCAGCCTGAATTTTGTCTGTCGCTTTAACACATTAAAGGTAAGACACTGGAGTTGTGCGAGATCTCCTGGACTTGACCTCTTGACTGCTTCTTCATTAGCAGGGGTAAAAGTTCCACTCTATTATTTATAGCATAAGGACACATAATAAGGTCAAGTGGTTCAATCAGTCTGAGACTTCAAAAGTAATTGAAAAAGTTAGTCATAATTATAGAACTATAAAAAGCAGCCACAGCACATTAGTATCAAGCAGCTTTTTAACCGAATTAAACAGATTTTGGTGTTGGTCCAGTGGGCCATATTTCTGTTTCTTGCTTATAAAGAGTTTTTAACAAGAATGTTTAAATAATAATTGTATTGTTTGTATTGTTTATAAGCTTTAGGATGTGATAAGCCTGTGGATTTAAGGTGTTAAGGTCTTAGCTGCGGAGACGCTGTATTAGAGCATAAGAGCAATGCACAAAGATAAACGATGTCCCAACACTCATACAATCCCAGAGGAACATTTTGTTGCTCAAATGTTGCTTTTATGACTTCATGGTGATTCTCCTAAAATTCCTTAGGGGAAATAGTATTAAATTGATTTATTAGATTGATCTGTTTCAATCATGGCTGTGTGGACATGGAACAGCAGTGCTTGGGCAGCCCAAATCTCTATCTGATATTCTGCTGGAGTTCTGCTTTGTAATGATAAACTCCAAACCAGCTTTAAAGGGGAATTTCACAGATATTTAAAAATTTCTGTATATTTCAGTCAATGAGATGTACTGTAAACAAAGTTGATCAGAGTGGTTTGATGTGAAAGGGTTTGTTGTAAAGAGAAACTGTACAAGCTGTAAAAGTTTCTTTACAGTAGTGGTGATAGGAACCAGGAGTCACAATATCTACAACACAGACATAGACATTTTATTTACTATCCGAAACCACCAGTGAACCTACAGGTGTCTTCTGAGTTTTCCCATATAACGTTGATAATGGTTAAATTGTGGAAAAATCTGAAATGGTTAAATCTGAAATGGTAAAATTGTGGAAAAATCTGGAAAACTAAGATTTCTTTTGGGACTATTTGGCCTTACAATGCCCTGCATTTTATAACCAAAACTTTATCTTAAACTATCGTAAAACAGAATCTCATCAGTATCTGGCAGTGTTATCATAACTGTTCCGTGAAACTTTCTGTGAGGTGGCGTTGGAAATCTGGTTCCTACTGCCACTACTGTCAACAATTCTAACTCAGTATTTAGAATTATGCATTTCACATCAAACCACTCTGAATGACTTGGTTCGCATCTTAATGGTTTATTTATGCTGAAATTTAGAGAATCTATTGACTTCCCCTTTAAGTTCAGCAGATTGTTTCTGAATTGTCATCAAACCTCCAGTTCCACAGTCCTCAAAGTAAAGGTACTGTTGAAAGAGGGGAGTCTCGAGTTTGAACATTCACACGTGTAATGAGCATCATTAACTAATGTCTTCCATTACTGGTTAGCTACATTAGCCTCATAGCACCAATGAAAAACTAAAGAAGCAACCTTCAGACACCAAAAATGTAATTTGTCACTGTCCAAAAAAAGTAATGCAATATTTATATTTATATTTATATTTCATTTTTTATCAAATATAACAACAAGTATCTCCAAAATGGCTACTTTACAGGAGAATGTAAAATATTCTTCACTTTAATGTAAGTTAATGCAATTAAATTTTTTTTCCCAAGTATTTCTGAATGAATTCTATTGGTCCATGAAATTTTACCCTAATGTAAAGGGCAACTGCTGTACTCAAATAATGTAGAAAAATAAAAATTGGAAAAAAAGAAACAATTCTTGCATAGATAGAAATATGATTGGGATGGGAAGTTTTTGTGTGTTTGGCCAAATAATCTTTTTATATTCTTAAACGAGTTTCGTTAGTGGATGTTTTTCGCCAAGTGTTTCTTCTATATATATTATTTAGGTGAAGTAACAATACAAGGTATCTGAGTAACTACATATCCAAGGCAAACGAATTAAATAGGCTTCATGTTGAACAATACAATATTTATTTATCAAAATTCGAACAAGAAATTCAGAGGGATGTAGATGTTATAACCGATTTCACAAAGCTTCACAAATGTAATATCTTCCGATACTGGTGGTCGTCCAGACCCCTTTGCCCTGCACAGACAGCCTTCCTCTTTGAATTTTTTTGTGCCATGTCCAAATCTGCTTTCCAGTTGGTGCATTTTTATTGAATTTTCTCGAAACATCCATCCATCCATCCATCCATCATCTAAACCGCTTCTCCTTCTGGGTCGCGGTGGGGTGCTGGAGCCTATCCCAGCTGTCATTGGGCGGAAGGCAGAATACACCCTGGACAGGTCGCCAGTCCATCGCAGGGCACGAAACATTAAAAATTAAACTCGGTTAGTTTTTACACATGTTGTTAAAATTTGAGATCATTTGAGGGAGAACTGGCTATGTTATTAGACTACGAAATGATGTCAATTTTTTGGGACACCCTGTACTTTTACTTGGCGACGCTTCCAGCCCTCTCCACCCTGTCTGAATGTAAAATCCGGAGGTGCGCTGAACGCTGCACGGCTAGTGCACTCGCTAGGTTTGCTTTGTTGAAGGCGGAGTGAGGGCGACGCCATTTTTGCTGTAGGGAAACAGCGTAAGCACACTTTTTCCAAGAGCCCTAGCTCGGCTAGCTCTTTTTCCTTTATGATTAAATACTCACGGATAAATCATGGCCAGCGCTTCATATACGTATAAACGTAAGTGGCCGTGGACTGGGCATCCAGGGTGGCTCGTTCAACTGGCTAAAGTTCACCAGTAGTAAGTCCATCACTGTTTGAATAAGCTAGCACGCTAACTAGCCTCTTTTTTGTGCTATGTAGTGACTGACGAGGATATCAAGAACCTGATTCGCCTGCGAACAACGAACGCGGCCCTTTTTACCAGGAGGAGAAATGCGGCTAAAACAGCTTGGAGGTAACTTAACCAGCCAAAAACACAGAGTTATGATTATAACTAGGTTCCAGTGTGAATGACTCATTTTTTGCTTTTCTTTAGTGCAATTCTCAGGGAGTTGGGTTTGGAGGACAAGGTAACAGTAGACCAGATTGCCAAGAAATGGGAAAACTTGAAGATGAAGTACAAGGTTGGGTTGGACATATCACTTCAATAATAATATATATCATTCCCACCTATAACATTCTTTTAATGCTATCTTTTTCCAATTTATAATACTTGATCCTGAGGTAAACTGTAGTAACTTTATGAATTCACTGTAGGTTTCTTGTAGGAATGCTATATAAACTACCGTAATATCACTATAGTTTTTTTCATAAGTGGTTTATCACTTTTGAGAATTTACAATCATATAACCAAACGAATCAAATAAACATAACTGCGTTTTTCACTTTTGTATTTCAAGGAAATAAAATTTCCTCCCCCTGGCATGGAGGAGGCAGCGAGGACGTCCCATTGGAGATGGTTTAAAATGCTGGACGAAGCCTTAAAGGAGGAGATAACTGAGACGAGCTACCACTCATTGCCGTCCTCTGTGAGTGACGATGACTGTGGGCCACAGGCCAGCAAGAGGATATGTCAGGTCAAAGTAGGAGGTGACATTTTAGAACTGCTGGTGGATGATGAAGGTATATCAGGGGCCCCCGACTCAGGATCCACTCCACTGAATCAAGAGAGACTGCTGGGAGATGAGACCCCTACACAGCTGTCCGGCCTGAACATTGAGAAAGTCAAACTGACCAGAGAGCGGCAGCTTCTCGAGAAGGAGCACGCGGAGCTGGACCGGGAGAGACTGGTGTTAGAGAGAGAAAAGGATCTGGCAGAGAGGGAAAAGATAGCGCTTCAGAGAGACAGAGTGCAGTTAGAGAAGGACAGGGCCGCAGTGGACAGGGACAGAGCGTCGTTGGACCAGGATAGAGCCCGGTTAGAAAAAGACAGGGCTGCATTAGAGAGGGATAAGGCGGCTCTTGTGAGAGACAGAGAGAGTCTGAATGCCTCAGTGCAAGGGAAAAACTCCCCTCTAGACACGCCACATGAGAAGAACAGAGAGAAATTAATCCTCTTAATTGAGCGACTGATTGATAAGTTTTGAACAGAAATAAGCTTTGTTGGTTTAAACCTGTTCACTTCAGTACTATTTTATAACAGGCCTTTTTTCACTCAAGTGAATCTTTCCCAAATAAAGCTTAGGCTGACACAAATGTCCAGATATAAATCAGATTTGCATCACGTGCAAAAAAGTTTGCATCTTTAGTTTTGCATTGGAGATATATGAGGCTAGTGTAGCTAACAAGTAATGTAAGGTTTAAAAGATTTTGGGTGACATAGATTTCTATTACATTTGCCTATTAAAGAGGTCGGCAACAGAGGTAGGTTCTTTACTGCCCTGTTGCGGGTCCTACAGCAGAATTAGATTTAGGTTAAAATAATGACGATATGGCCTAGCTAGCTAGTAGCTAACGAAAAGACAAAAATAAAGATTTAAAATAAACATCGATAATTTGGAGACAAATGTTCTTATTTTCACTTATAATCATTCCAGCTGGTTTCCTGATATTTTTTATCTGCAACGAGAAACTGTCAAACTATAAAAAGTCACAAAGCTGAAGTCAGTTTCTCGTTCGACTTTTCCTGTTCGACCTTAAATGGTGCAGCAGTTACATTCTGGCACCTCAGTCACCAGTTAAGGTGGAACAGGAAAATTCTAACAAGAAGCTGGTGAATGAGAAGCTGGTTTCAGCCTTGTAAAAAAGTTGAATGTTGAGAGACATTTTACAAGAAACTATTCTACATTGAGCCCCGGAGGGGACAGAGGTAAAAAAAGAAAACGTGTATGAATTGCAAAACATTCACTCAAATTTTTATTTTTACTTCCATCCCCTCTGGGGTGCCATAATTCTGCTTTTGCGGAAAAGTTTCCTGCTGGAGATGTGAGAAAAGTGGCTATAGCTGAGCTTAAAGCAGAGCAAAGTAAGTCTGCGTTTTTGTGTATATTTTGTTTGTGTATACTAAGACATTAGCGAGCACATATTAAGACATATTTTGGGCCAAGATAGTAAAACAATACTTCAATAAAATGGACGTAAAATATTGTGGCTCCCATGGCAGATTGATTTTTGTTAAAAGGACATAATGGCTCTTCTTAACATTTGGGTTGCTGACCCCTGGGCTTGTAACTGCGGTGCAAAACTTAAGAAGCAAACTTAGCACACCAAACGTGTCTCGGCCGCTTGGCTCTATTTAGAGTAAAGGGCAAACTGTGCAAATTCATTTCTCAATGAATCATGACCTTAAAGTGACACCAATTAATATTCAAACTAGAATGTATATTTCCAGCCTATATCAGGCCAAAATTTGACTTGTGTTCTTTTCTGATATACGGCGTAATTCACCTTAGAGTTTGCAGTTTTGCCTCTACCTGTAAATCACATGGTAAAACCATGTCAGGGACATTTGACTGTTTTTGAAACCGACTCTGTTAAATGAACATAATTTATATTGAAAGATGAATGACAACATTGATGCCTTGTTGATTCTTCACTTTGTTGAAGTTTGTAAAGAAAAAAAAAATGATGGTTAAAATAGCCTTTGTGTTTAGTATTTTTGATTTATGCACAAATTAGAAGAACATTATTTTAAATAAAATATTTTCACTCAATATATAAAATTCTGTCATGGTGTCCTTTTGATAATCAGTGTTTAGTGATCAGTGTTGTTTTGTTTATTGGGGAAAGTACCATATTGGTTGGGACAGCCTTAATGCATGTTATTTGTTTATTTATGCACAGATATAGAAGAAAGTACATCATTTTAAATAGACTTTTTAGTAGTTAAATTTATAATTTCTGTTTAAAGAGGAATTCCAAACAGGTCTTTGGTTTTTCAAAATTGCTGCATAATTAAATGGCTGAGATGTAAACAAAGTCATTCAGAGTGGTTTGATGTGATTCTCTGTTCCAGAGAAACTTCCTAAGTCAGAATTGTTCACAATAGTGGTGATGGGAACCAGACGTCCAAAGCATTTAATGCCTTTAATAGCTACATCCTGGAATGTTATAACACAAAATGGTTGTAATTATGCTGCCAGATGTCTAAGACTGTGTTTTACGATTGTTTTGCAATAATATTTTGGCCTAAAACAGATTTTTACAACACATTCATTGTGTAGGGGTACAACGAGGTACATAAAGAAAATACTTTTTCAGATTTATCACTATTTTACCACCATCAACATTTCACATGAAAACTCAGAAGACGTGTAAGTTCACTGGTGGTTTTGGGTAGTTAGTAAAATGGCTGTGTTTGTGTTGTAGACCTAACCCCTGGTTCCTATCACCACCACTGTGAAGAAATCCGAGTTAATGAAACATTTCACTTGTTTCCATCTCAATGACTGAATTACGCATACATTTTGAACAATAGGTTGAATTCCCTTTTCAATCATCTTGATAAGTGGTGTAACACTGGATGCGTTAAATTGAAAACTTTAACATAAAATGACAGATCATTTTGGTTCCTTCTGGACAACTAAGGGTCAGTTTCCCAGACAGGGATTAAGCCTAGTCCTGGACTACATTTCCTTTTCACTGGAGAATCTCCATTCAGAACGCAATGTGCATTCAGAAGACCTAGGCCAGAGTTCAGCAACATGTGGCTCTTTTACTGAACTGTTGCGGCTCCACATCAGAATTAGATTTTTAGGTAAAAATAAAATATTCATTCTTTGCAGTAAAATAAAGCTCTGCTTATTGTTTTAACACAGTTTTAACAATAATGGATCTGAAACTCTGAAATTAATGTATAACTCCTAATTCACCCTTTAATCCTGAAGGTTGGTGCGCAGACTGCTGGTCACACAGCAACACAGACAACAATCTGATTGTATGTTGAGAGACATTTTACAAGAATCTGTTCTAAACGGAGCCCCAGAGGCGACAGAAGTAAAAAAGAAAATGTTTGTATAAATTGCAAAATATTCACTCTAATTAATTTTTATTTTTACCTCCGTCCCCTCTGGGGCTCCGTAACTCTACTTTTGCAGAAAAGTTTCCTGCTGGAGATGTGAGAAAGTGGCTATAGCTGAGCTTAAAGCAGAGCAAAGTAAGTCTGTGTTTTTGTTTATATTTTTAGTCTATACTACGACATATATCTAGCACATATTAAAACATATTTTGAGCCAAGATGGTAAAACGTTACTTAAGTAAAATGGACATAAAATGTTGCGGCTCCCAAGGCGGATTGATTTTTGTTGAAAGGAAAAAATAGCTCTTCTTAACATTTGAGTTGCCGACCCCGGCCTAGGCCTTGTCTGGGAAATGTGCTGAGTGAAAAGTAGTTGATTGTAGTTTTAGGGCTGGAACAGTCAGACCCAGTGATGTGCTGTAGCGTGTTAGGGTCATGTTTGGTGGCAGAAATGTGATTACATTTATAGTTCAGTTAACAATTAATACATTGATTGCAAAATCTAGGACCGGTTCTGAATCCAAGACACATTATCTTGTGTTCTCTAGCAGTGATTCTGCATTCTCTTGCAAATACAATGGATTTTGCAACAAGGGAACGCAAAAGGTTTGCATTTTCCTTTTCACAATGGCATTTCAGGGGTCAGCAAGATTGTACAGAGTCCCCAAAGGGCTTTTGCAAGAAACAATTGCAAGAACATTGTGTTACCTTTATACAATGTTTGCATTCGTTCGCAAACGTTTTGTGCTCCCGTGCAAAATCCATTGCATTTGCAATAAAACGCAAAACACTTGCGAAGGAACGCAAAGTTATTGTGTGGAAACACTGTCATTACGGTTTTTTATAGTTTATTTATTTTATTTATTTATAACCAGGGCTCCGTGAGATCTGAACGTCTCTGGTCTGTTGTGTGACCTGCTGTGAATTCTCCTGTTTCTCTTTCTCCTCCAGCTCGATAGGAGGTGCTAAAGCGCCACCGGTGTTCTTCAAGTCCAAAACATTGTAGTAAGTCCTGAACACCACAGTCAACTTTAGCTAGATATTTATAACTTTAGCGCTCTGTTTAAAAAGTCCTTGTTGTACGACTCTCACTGTCCAGACCATGGGGGAATCAGCGGGGATTTATGTCAGTGACGGAAAATGTGAGTGTTTATTGTTTTGTTTATTTCTTTAAACTCGTTGACGCTAGCTGTTAGCAAACCAGCTAGTTATCCAAGCTGCAGATAGGACTCTGCACAGGTTTATTACAGTGCGTTATATTTTTTGTAAGCTGCTTGCTGTGTACTATATATCACAAATTACATGAATAAATAAATGAAGACAGTTAGCGTTACTATAATTCTCATATGTCAAACACAAGGCCCGTGGGCCAGATTAGGCCCGCCACACAATCCTGTACGGCCCGCGAAAGTATTTTATTTTCTATTAATATTAGCCCGTTTCACAATGTGCTGCACTACAGTCCCCAGCATGCACTGCAACATAACGTGCTCCGACTCTCCCACCCCAACAACAGTCTATGGGACAGCGGTTACACCTCAGTTCTACACAATTCTGCGCAATTCCACACCAGTCATATCACCAGTCAATGCATTTCAGCTGCAGTTTAACCAGTATAAACACTTAACTTGAGCTCAGCAGCTCAGAAAATGAGCCTACGTTTTAATGAACTTGCAGCAAAGAAAGGATGTCAGGTGTGTGATTCAAGCAAATGGGAAGGGTAAAGGACCGAGCAGCTGGGGACATTTAAATTTTGAATATTTCAAGTGTTCACATAATATTTCAAGGTCTACTACAAGTGTCTGTATTTTGCTGTTGAAGTTTATGCATATTTTGAAGAAACAATGGCCAGTTTGGGTTATAGCACAACATTAATTAAAGATGAGGAAAACACCTTTTTCTCTGGCCCGCAGATTTGATAAGATTTTTAATATGGCCCTTTTACTGGTTGAATATGATCCCCCTGCAATATAGAATATAACAGGTAGTATACAGCACTGTACAAACCGTATAGTTTTTTTTATGAAGATATAAGATCTTACTGAAGTTTTTGTTCATAAGTACCTGCATGTAGCATCACATATGTCGATTATTCTGGGATATTTATTGCTCTCATGTGTTCCAGTAAAAGAAACCCAAGCGTCTCTCTCTGACGTATTACACTTATATATGGAATATGCAGAAAACAGTATACCCATCTGATTTTTTCCTGTGGCACGAAAGGTGTTTTCAAAGACCAAGTGTAAGACCATTGCTTTTTGTTCTAGGGACTGACCATGACACAGAACAGCTGATAAAGTGGCGCATGGGACATCACTTTCTGTTCTCTGGGAAGAAATCATCAGCCAGAAATGGTTGGGAGTAAGAATCGTTTAGTTTTCATCACTTCTGTACTGTACATTTGTTACCCTTGTTCATCAATGTTTAGGCATTTGCTTTACTGATATAGCATATGGCGCATAGTTTGTATGATGTTCACAGTGGATAATCAGATACCTTGACTGTTGTCATGTAACTTGCCAATGTCATTTAGAAAGTACATTAGTGTACATTTAAGCCATATTTCTTCTACTTTTTCTACTTCTATGTTATGTTAAGGTGCATAGATATAAGGTACATGTTCTCTGTGAAAGAGAATGCAGTGTAGCTTTAAAACACATTTAAGGTGCGCAGTTTTTTCAGAAATACATAAATCATTTTGGTTCAATTGATCAGATAAACATGAGATTATCATTTGGGTTCCTATTTGATTGAACATAACAATTGCACTATAAAATAATTTGAGAATATTTACATGCATTTGTTTTCTAGGAGATTTATACGAGAAACACTATCAACATTGGATGGAGACTGGACTGCTGCCAAAGCTAAAAAGAAGTGGTCTAATTTAAAAAGAAAATATCAGGTATGTTGAATATTATGCTTTAATTTTTCTTCTAAAATACGGAGCAGACTGAACTGCACTCAAGCCCTGCTCTCCTGTGTATAAAGCAAGTGACTTGTGAGTTTACACAAAAACAAACATCAAACAAAACTCATATTCTTTGCACTATGATTCAGAGACAGTGTTTAAATCATAATTTATTGTTTTTCATTTCATCGCCATATGCAACAGTTTTATCATACATCACACGCATAGTGATGCACAGGAAAAAGAAACTGAAATTATAGACATACTTGGCTGAATTAACATAATAATACTGCCGATGCTTTCAAGGTGATAAACGGAGAATTGATACAGAACTAGATGACGAATTTAATTTTGAACTTTTAATATTGCTAAATACTATATATTAAAAATTGTAAAATTATGAAAATACTATACTTTATGGTATTCTGAAGGCCTCTACCACTGAAATCCAGAGCACCTCTGCTATAATGATGGAAAACACCTCATTTTGTAGCGTGTAAAGTGTGTGAATGCGGCTTTTGAACTTCCATCTAGCAGTCTGAAGTTTCTCCAGAAGGGGGTGCTATTAGTACTTTGCTTTAGAATGCATGTTACTGTTCCCAGTAGCAGCTTTCAAAACAGGAAAAAAGTTTGTTACCAAAAGATACAGAGTTACTGTGATTTCCATTAAAGAATTCACTGAAATAGTGATTCACATAGAATCACTATTTCTCACTTTCATTACCATTCAAATGTATATATGTTAAATGTTAGATTTTAAAACTTAATTGCAGACTTAATTGCAAAATTCTTTTTCTCTTTTGGACGTAAACTGAAAGTGCCACTTTTCAGTTCAAATGTTTCAGTGGCCGAAATATCAGAGCATCCCTAATTGTGCATTCTTAATTCACTTCTGTTCAGTTATTTTGGTAAAATTTACATTTTTTTAAAAATACTCCACAAATATGACTGGAGGAACTATTATAACAGTAGTGCAATATAGATAATAAAACAATATACTGAGCCTTTTTTATTTTACGTAAAAAAATTTTAATTTATTCTAGTCTTCCAAAAGCAATGCTGTCAAATCACCAACTTTAAATTGGTGCATTTTTAAATGGCACATCTTATTTTTAATTGTTTTTTTTTCTTTTATATTAAGGAGATCAGATCGCTGGGAACAGAAGTAGAAACAGTGAACCCAAACGCCTGGCGATGGTTTCATTTGATGGAGAAGGCTGTGGAGCGGGAGTCCACGGCGAGTGAGGCTGTCCCTTTGATGTCATCAGTGAGCGACGGTGACGACGTGTGCACACCACAGCCCTGCAAGAGGGTGTGTCAGGTGCAGGTGGGAGGAGACATTTTAGAGCTCCTGACGACTTCAGTGATGGAGGTCAAAGGGGGAAGTGAGCCTGTATTGGGAGATGAAAGAGTTACAGCAGAAACATCAGCGCAGAACAGACAAGCAGACACAAAGGACCCAGAAACTGACCACTCCTCAGTTGACCTGGACGCTGAAAAGGCCACCCTGAGGAGAGAAAGACGGCTGATTGAAAAGGAGCACGCAGAGGTGGACAGAGAGAGAGTGATCCTGGAGAAAGAGCGGGATTTGGCAGAGAGGGAAAACGTAGCTCTCCAGAGAGAACGAGTGCGGTTAGAGAAAGACAGAGCCGCGTTAGACCGGGACAGAGCTGCGCTGGAACAAGAGCGAGCAAGGATTGAAAAAGACAGAGCAGTGCTGGAGCGGGACAGAGCTGCACTGCAAAGAGAGAAAGACAGATTCACAGCTATGGTGCTTGGCAGAAATGACACTGGACACATCGACATGGACACTGGACTCATGGAGGATAGAAAGAGATTAATATTTTTATTTGAAAGGCTGATTGAGAGGTTTTGAATCAGCTTTGGTACAACTACTAATTGAATATTATTTTGTGTAGTTTTCAAAAACTGTGCAAGTGAAGACGTCATTTAGACATTTACATTCTAATTGTTATGTATCTGTACATTTGTATTGTTATAATAATAGCTGTATTTACAGTGGGGTCCAAAAATCTGAGACCACATTGAAAATCTGGGTTTTTTGTCGGTAAACTTGGAAACAAACGACAGAAAAGAAAAGTAAAAAAGGTATGACTAGAATAATGAGAAAAATATTTAAGATTCTGCACTATTTCTAGATCATTATTCAAATTTCAGCAAATTTGGACATTGATGTTAAGACCTTTGTAGAAAAAGGTTAGATTTTTTTTTCATCCCTTCCATTGAAGCACAAGTTCAGATGATTCTCAGGTGGATTAGATCTTCTCGTCAGAGGCTTTTGCATAAACTTGTGAAGTCCCCAACAACAGACCATATACAAAAAAAATTCTGAAATGAATATTCAAATTTTCAAGATTCTACAGTCAAATTGTTATAATGATAATGTAATTTGTAATGTAGAACTTTGTTATATATTACAAAGGATGCAAAAAGAATCATTTTCAGAAGTGGTTTCAGACTTCTGGACCCCACTGTTGGTAGGTAGGCAGTCCTGTGTAACACATTCTCTTTAGATAACAGTATGTTAAATATGGCAGTTTTCTGCAAATTTAAGTGCACATTTTCTATTTATTTGCTGAGTTCAACATATTGGGGAAAAACACACCTTATAAGTCTTACGAAATGTGTCACAACTTTTGTTCATGCCACATTAAATATTTAACGTTTTATTTTTTTCCCCAGTTTATATTAAAATTCACCAAATAAACAGTAGATGTGCATTTTCACAACAGAAACATGTAAGTTGACCAGGGCTGCCCAAACTTTTGTATTTGCCTTTATATACAGTACTGTGCAAAAGCCCTAGGGGTCTGTGGAAATGATATTTATTAAGCTATTTATCTGGGCGGTAAGCACTTATTTGTTCAAAAAACATCAACTTAAGCATAAATACAGATAAATAAACAATACATTGTGATTGTTCTGTGTGTCTGCATTAGATTAACCATTTCCAAAGCTCTCCTTTAGAAAGTTTAGAATTTACAGTTACCATCCAACACCTACTTAATCTAATCAATCCTTCATTCAATTAAATGAAATGTAATAAATCCATGTATTGGCTGGAGCGCTGTGAGAAGACAGGATTCAGGAACCAAACCTGTGTTCTTCTATCTCTGTTCTTCTAACCAAGATACAAAAACAAAAAAAATAATCTAGTTAGTTTTTACTGTATTTATGTCTGTTTGTTATTTATTATCATATCGTGTTTAACTGGTTGGCACCAACAAAAATAGTTTTAAATAATTTTTTTGACTGCCCAAGACTTTTGCACAGAACCATTGTCTTTGTTTTCAAAAGCATTAATATCTCTGTAGGAAGTTCCTGTTTCAGACGAATGCCTGAATGTCTCAATTTTGAGAAACTATTGTTACATGAAAATAGAGCTGTTTAGTAGAAGTATATCAGGTTAACTCATTTACTTAATTAACTTTGTCTTTGACAGCTGATATGACAGCAATGTTCTTGTGTGCTTTTTACAGTTCAACTACAGTTATTTCTACAAACCAAAATATTAGCATCCCTGACTTCAGACACAGGGTGAGCGGGCTAGAATTGCTTTTCATTCATTCCTTTTCCTGATCCAACGAATAAACTGTAAACATTTGAAAAATGCAATCCCTAGACCATATGGTTATTTAATGTTTGTCTTGTTTTGTGATGTGGCACTGTATCTCCAGTCTAAGTAAATGAGAAACTGTGAGAAACAGCATTCCCAATGATTTAGAAAGAAAAATAATTCAGAAATAATGATCTGGCAAGTGTGAAAGTCACTGCAGAACAGTGCAGTGTGCTTTTGTAATCTTAGAGCTCCCCCTTCTGGTTAGAATGACAGCATTGCTGTGTGGCTTAAGATAGATAGATAGACAGATAGATCACTTAATTAATCCCAGAGGAAGTCGTCTATTACAGCAGCACAAACTACAGTAAAGAGCAAAACAAGAGCAAAAGTATTGTATGCTATTATACAGATGCATAAATAGAAGAAATAAAGATATATAATAAAATATACTAAAACAACCATAAAATATGCTGTGCAGTATGAGAATAAGTAAAATTGCATAAATATTATGCAGGTGACAATACAGTGGTGCATGTCACGCCCAGTGGATGAACCGAGTGACTATACACTGTAAATAGTAACATGTTAATAGTTGTGCAATATGCATGGGTGTATAAACAGGTGGCAGTGCAATATGCAATATTTATGGATGTGTAAACAAAGTGGCAGTGCATAGTGAAGAGTAGAGACATATAATGTCCAGTCGGTGCTCAGTGTACAATAATGTCCCAGCACAGTGACATGGTGTGCGATCCCTCCTGTACACAGCCTCTGTGTTGGCCCTCCGGTCCAGTTTGTTGTCAAGCAGGACACCCATATTTGGGGTGTCCACCCGCTCAACGTTCTGACCCATGATGGTAATGGGACTGATCACCATCTCCTAGGTGTTGGCCACATTGAGTGGCAGATGGTTCCTCGCACACGACTCAACGAAGCTTTGCACAAGGTTTCTGTATTCTCCTTCCTGCCCATCCCTGATGCACCCAACCGCCACAGAGTCATCAGAACATTGCTGAAGGTGGCAGAGGTCCGACCTGTACTGGAAGTCCGTGGTGTACAGGGTGAAGAGGAAGGGTGACAGCACAGTTCCCTGTGGTGCTCCAGTGCAACTGGCCAGGTGATCTGACTGGCAGGTTCCCAGCCACACATACCGGGGTCTTCCGGGCAGGTGGACAATCATGGACTTGTCCACCTGCATTTTATACAACTTCTCAGCCAGCATGAGAGGCTGGATGGTATTGAATGCATGTGAAAAGTCAAAGACAGTGATTCTCACTATGGTGTTATTCTGGTCCAAATGGGAATGTGCCGTCTGCAGTAGATAAATAACAGCATCTTCCACGCCAACCTGCTGTTGATAAGCAAACCACTAGTCTCTCCAGGACCTTCGTGACGTGGCATGTAAAGCCACTGGTATGTAGTCATTTAATAAGCAGGTAGATGATTTCTTTGGAACTGGAACCAGGCAGGATGCTTTCCACAGCACTTGGCACACAACTTCGTTCAAGGCTCAGGTTGAAGAGATGCTGAGGAATCCCACATAGCTGATAAAGTAAGTAGTTACATAGATAAAAGGGTTGAAAGTGCTGTAACGTAAAATACTTATGTATTATTTTGGGAGATTTGTACTTTACTCAAGTGTTAAGGAAATTGAATATTTGCACTTTTTGCGGATTTGCCGAGAAATACTCTATACCTTTGCATGTAGGCCTTCAAATTCCTTGTTAAAAATCTCAATAGCCAGAAGATTTTTCTCTTTTTCTCACCAGTTAAGCTTCTGTGCATTTTAATAGATTGTTGTTTTTATTCAAATATCTAGTAAAATTCATGTCATGTTAAATGAAACTGTCGAGCACTATGCTGATTAGTCTTTGCGTGAAAACTAGTAGTAAAATATTTACTTTTCATTTTTATATACTTGATTATATTTAAATCTAGCTCTGAATCCATACTTCCACTATTCATGGAGAAGTATTTTGACACAGTATCCATGCTTGATGTAAGTACAGCTTCTCTGTTCTTTTTTCACCACTGCATAGATGTTACTAACATCCGGGAGCTACACCCACACTTCCTGGAGTTTTATCTAACCATCAAAATGTAAACTAACAAAAACCAGACTTTCAGATAACCATCAAAAGGCAATAGAACAGACGGATGTGGTGGTATTTTATAGCAAATACACTTTAGACACAGTTCCAGAGAACCAACAGTCAGTAAACTAAACATGCTTCTTAGCACATTACATTACAAGGAAGTTGTTTTACGTTGTCATCATTTGTATGTAGACAGTGGAATCAATAGCTTACATCTTTCCCATCTATGATACGCTATATGGCCAAAAGTAGGTGTGGACACCTTTCTAATTATTGAATCAACACCCATTGCAAGCAAGTGTATAAAATCAAGCACATAGCCATGTAGTCTCCACAAACAAACAAACACTGGCAGTGAAATTGGTCTTACTGAAGAGCTCAGTGACTTTAAATGTGGCACTTTTAGCTTGTGAAATCCCTGTCCTGCTAGATCTGCCCCAATCAACTGTAAATGCTATTATTTTGAATTGGAAGCATCTAGGAACAACAACAGCTCAACCACAAAGCAACAGCCTATGCAAACTCACAGTGCAGGGCTGACTAGTGCTAAAGCATGTAGTGTGTGAAAAACACATATTCCCTGCTGCATCACTCACATGGGCTGGAGGTTATGGAACCAGCCTTGTGACTGGAAGGTCACCGGTTCGATCCCCTGAGCCAACAGTATGTGATTCCCCATTGTGGGACTAATAAGGGCAAGTCTGGGTCTCAGATGATTTGTATGTCAGTAGTGCTGGCCACTGTTGATAAAATTCAGTAATATTTTCCAGGTTTATGATGATGACATAGCTGACATGTTTTGAATGGACTGTTTAGTTCTGTTTTCTTATCTGACATTTTTCTTGTATTTTATTTTTTTCTTTTTTAACATTTATGTGGTTTTATATACCAAAAATGGTCATAATTAATTTTTAGATGACTACTTTTCAAAGACCCTGTATCTCTTAGAATGAAACAGGCTGTTCATGTTACTGTACCTTTAAAACTGATAGGAGATAGATGAGCTCTGTTCTGTTTGGCTACCCTGTATTGTGCCCCATAGCTAAAGCACTGAGAGCTGAAACACTGCTTATAACTTCAGTGTGAATGGGTGGAGCCAAACTGCTGTAGGCTGAATAGGTGGATATATGTAAATGAGTTGGTTCTCATTTGTTCTCTGTATGGGCTGGAAAGTGAATGGTATGTTTAACAATATTTACATATTACTTCGAGCTCCTTTATTTAAAAAAGCCAGTGTTCAGTATTTAATGATATGGGCCCTTTAAAATGACACGAAAGAAAATCTTGTGCAGTATTGTAAATGTTAACCAAAGAGGACTTGGGTTTCTGCTTCAGCTGTGTAAAATTCCTGGACATCCAATCCATTAGCCTCATTCGTCAATATCAAATGCCAAATAAGAAAACATTGGTTGGATGTCAGAATCATTGTGAAAACAGAGATTTCTTCTTAAGAATGGTTGGTGAATGAGGCCCAATGACCTGATTGAACTTTCATAAAATAATAAAAATGCTAAGATAGGAAAATGCTAGGGTTCTAGGACATTTTGTGCCCTGAAGTGAAATTAATTAATTAAATTCATCAATTTCACAGTGTGGCACCAATACCAATGTTATTTGCTATTGATGATATATCACCCAGCATTTTTGCATCAGTGATATCTGTCACTAAACATACTGTAGAAATGTCACTTCTATAGTAAAATGCAGACTATCTGGTTCACAGAGTGGAGAGAAACGGACTCAAGCATGTCGACTAACAAGACAAACGTTTTCAGGCTTTTGTTCCGGGAAAAAAACAGGTTTATCAAGTTTGTTTGAATAGCTCTGCTACTAAGAAGCAGTATATCAGGGACACTATACTGTCTTTACAGAGAAGAACTCTTGGAAGCAACAACAGAAGATGGCACAGAAGATTCAGTTATGAACAAGTGAAGAAAGGACGAAGCAGATTGATTCATTGATTGATTAACTGATAGCTGAAGTTTGGCTGGATTATACTCATCAACAGCCTTCACAGTCGTGAACTCCTGGAACTGGACGGCTTAATTCCATCAGTCAGCAGATCTGGATAGAGCAGCATGATTTATGTACGCAAAGGTCAGTCAAACACAGTGATAAATGATCTGTCATTTCTGCTACATTTCCAGTTTTTGTGTAAGATTTGTGGATTTATGTTTCTTTTTAATTCAGTGGGGCCCTATCTGGGACACAGGAGACAGCCACAGAGCAGTATGTGTCTCCTGCAGTCTTGATGAAATATGCTGTGATTATATCCTTTAATTCGTTCCATCATTGAAGGAAACTATGCTGTGCATGCATTCAATAGAAAAAGCTTGGTGAAAGAAGCTTTTTCTAATCATAAGTACTAGTCTGAACATCAGACTGAGTCTATGGATAATCCAGAATAAGGTAGTCATAACTGCTAATAGGGGAGAAGAGGGAGAACATGTGGAACATATATCACATACAGGATCTTTCAGTTTGCGATCAATGTTTTCAACAATACGAAAAATGATTTAGTTTCAGATAAAAGTATGAAATCAATCTGGTATGCTAATCCTGTGCAACTTCATAGCTTTCAAGTGATTAGTAGGACTCTAGGAAACTGTAAATAAGAAATGTTAGATGTTTCCAGAATGATGAACAGAGCTATGGAAGATTCAAAAATGACCGAGAAAGCTGTACAACACTGAGAATAAAGTTGTAATATCATAAATATCTAGAATTCATGTTCAAAATTGAAGATCAAATCTCAAGGCAGATAACTTTAGCCAAAAAGAATGTACAGTACATTATTTAGCATTTGATAACTTCTTGTTCACAGCATTTATCTTGTATAAAAACATCTTAAAATACATTTTGGTGAATAGTTTGTAACATTTAAATCCACATGGATAAGTTACAATTGTACATTAAATAACAAAAATTGTTAATATGGCAAGTAGTTCCAAACTTTTGTGTATGTAATTGTGCAATTTTAACACATCTGCATTTACATTTTTTGTTAATCAAAGGCGTTTTCTTATTTTCACAGGAATTATAAAATTACTTCTGATGCTTTTAATTCTGGTAATATCAATAACCCTCACTGTCAAGCTCTTGAACACTGATGTAGAACTGAAATTGGAAAACCTAATAGGTGGGTATTAAAATTTTTCTCAATTTTGTCATTTATTTACTTTCCAGTCAAAACAGCTTTATTCAAATAGTTTTAGAACTAATAGATATTTCCGAGGGGATTAGATATAGGTTTAAAAGAATATCAAAAGCTATAAATAAAATGAGACTAAAAGCCTATTGAAAGGCAGCCTGAGTAAAACCTGCTAGACCACCAAAACTGTCAGCCTCAGATAAATAGTTCTTAAAGCTTTCATCTTTGAGAGAGAGGAGAAAATCAAGCTCCACTCTTCAAAAAAAAAACAAACAAACAAACAGAACATTTTGACTGACCACCCCACAGTCCAGACCTCAACATCATGAATGTGTTTGGGATTACTTGGCTTGTGAACTGTAGAAAATGCAACCAACTTCTAAGACTGAACTTTGGAGGTGTGGAAAAATATCCCTGCAGAACCCCAAATTCCCAAAATTGTGATATTACATTTAGTTTTTGAAGCTTCTGTGTTACATGTTTTATGCTTTTTTCTTTATGCTGAAAAATGAAATAACTTGTACTTAATAGCTGTTTTGACTTTTGCACAGTGTATTTACTATGTATGCAAACCCCACTTCTAGAAAAGTTAGGTCATTTTCTAAAATGCAATAAAAACAAGAATCTGTGATTTGTTAATTCTCTTGAGCCCTTATTTAACTGACAAAAGTACAAAGAAATTACCTTTAATGATACTTTTGATGATGAATCACTTTTTGGCTGACCAACTTGATTATATTTTGTAAATATAAACAACTTTTAATTTAATGCCCACAACACACTCAAAAAAGTTGTGACAAGGCAAAATAAGAGTGAAAAGTTTAAATATTCATGTTACACTGGTGAATAGGTAATAGGTGAGGGTATCATGAGGGTATAAAAGGAGCATCCACCAAAGACAAGCAAAGATGGGTCATGACTTACCACTTTGTGCCAAATTTAATGAGAGAATTGTCAAACTGTTCAAAAAGAACATTTCTTAAGGCAAGATCTAAAGACCTAAAGAATTTCACCGTGGTCTTTCACCATCATAAGTACATAATATTGTGAAAAGATTCAGGGAATCCAGAGAAATCTCAGTCCATTACTGGAAACCACTGGTGAATGTGCGTGACCTTAAAGTCCTCATATGGCATTGTATGAGAAAACATCATGCTACTGTGTTAAATATAGCCACATAGGCTGGGGAGCACTTCGGAAAACCATTGTCACTAAATACACAAAATCCACTGCTGCATCAAGAAATACAAAGTGAAACTCTATTACGCATGAAGAAAGCCATGCATTAATTCTATACAGAAACACCACCGAGTTCTCTGGGCCTGAGCTAATCTCAGATGATCTGAAAGGCAGTGGAAATTTTCAGTTTGTTTTTGGGAAAAACCTACTCTCTGTGCCAAAACATACAAAGACAAAAGGGACCATCAATACTTTTATCAGAGTAGGGTGCAGAAGCCAACATAGAGAGACATATGGTGCCATCAAGATGACGTCTTTCCCAGTAAGTCCATGGTTATTTCTCATTCTACACGTACTACAACAGTATAACTTCGAAGACACAGACTGCGTGTGCTTGACTGGCCTGCTAGCAGTCCAGATCTGTCTCCTATTGAAAATGTATGCATTATGAAGAGGAGAATCAGGCAACGACGACCACGGACAGTTGAGCAGCTGAAGTCTTGTATCAAGCAAGAATGAGCAAAAAGTCCCCTTGCAAAACTGATAAAATTAGTATCCTCAGTTCCCAAACAATTAAAAAGTGTAATTAAAAGGAAAGGTGATGTAACATACTGGTAAAGATGCTTTTTTTGTAGTGGAAATTCTTTGCCTGTTAAATAAGAGAAAATAAGAGAAGATAACCAATTACGATTCTTGTTTTTGCTGCATTTCACAAAATGTCTGAACTTCTCCAGAAATAGGGTTTGCACATACGCATGCATTTTATGTATTTTTAATATGTAAATGTTATTTGTTCTGTATTTTGAAATCTAGAGTGGCCAAATGAAGGACCTGATTACAGAGTTACAAGATCCATCCTTCATAAAAACTCTTGTAAGCATCCAAAACTTTAAGTAATATTTTAATACTTCACCTCACTGAGCAAACACTGAATAAGCAAAGTAAACTGGCAATGGGTTGCGTTCATTATTAGCGTGGTCAGTTCTTCAAGTCAATAATTCATACAGTCATACATGTGTGTACTAAAGAGGTGTAATGTATGTTAAAATAGTTTTAAATGAAAGTTATAAATGTCATACACTATGTGCATTGCGATGTACTGTATGCTGTTCTGTGTGTGTAATCAGCTATTCCTGGTAAATGCGGCCTCCCACAGCCGTGTCCTGAGGAACACTTTGCCTATAAGATTTCCAGTGGAGCAGCAAACGTGATAGGTGCAAAAATATGTTTCAATGGAGACATGTAAGTTTGTGTCTTAGAATAAACTAGTTCCCTTCACCAAACAGGCAGGGCTTATTAATAGGCTAATTTCCATCATTTATTTCTCTCATTGCTAAATTTATATAAATATCTGCTTTCTACTATTTACATTACATTTTCTTTCAGTTTAATAGGTGTGACAAAAACCTTGGGAACAGGAATTAACATTGCTGTTGTCAACGGTAACTTGACCTAAGCTAAGTCAACTGTTCTAAATGACCATGAAAGGAATCAAATTATTTCCTTTTTTTATACATTATCCTGTTCAAAGATTAAGCTGCATCCTCTGTAAAAAATACTTTATAATTTCAGAACAGTATATGAGTTTGTCAAATTTCTGTTTTTAGGCAAAACTGGTGAACTTGTCGATGCCGCTTCCTTCGACATGTGGAGTGGTGGTAAGTGATTTTTTTGTTGCCGTCTGTTAGTTAAAGTGATATTTCTATCAATGCCTGTTTCTTTATTACATTAGTGTATGTATTGCATACATATTTTATATGCTTATTTGACAATGCTACAATTTATGAGTATGGAAATTACCAAATGTTACTTCTGTGTAATAAAATTACTGTTAAAGGGCCATTCTGGCATAAACCATATATTATATATGGAAAGGCCTCTTATGGCTATTATGCTTCTAAACTGTGAAACTCAGTTTCACCTTCTATTAGACAGTCAAGCTCAGTGCACAGTTTTACAAAACATTTGAAAATGTATCTCTTTAGTGTTTCATTTAAGTTTTACGTCTCTTTTGTATTGACCTTTTAAATTGTTTTTTAATCTGTCATTGTCTTATTTGATTTTAAATCAATGCTCAGAATTTTTTCCATAACTGTTAAACATTGTTATCTGTCTATAAAGCACTCTGAGCTGCCACTGTTATGAAAAGTGCTCTATAAATAAAGATATTGTTATTTTTATAGTTATCATTATTGTTTAAGAACCATATTGAAGGCCTAACTCTAATAGTCACCGTTCACCTCTACATAATATGTAGTGCAGCGTTGGATGTCTCAGCCTCATTGGTTCACAGTTTCCTTTTTTCACAGTAATCTTTTTTACAGTTTCATCCATCAGTGTTCTCTCACTACAGCACCGATCATGCACTGCGCAATTATGTTCAGCTGTCTTACAGTATTGTTAGCTATCTGACTTCCTTCTCTATTAGCCAGATGTATCCACCCCCAAAGCGCTTGTAATTTTTCATCCTACCTTTAAGATGCATCATCAGAAGGGGGTCCTAGTCTTTAAACTAATGAATATTGCTCTACACAGTACCACAGCACCAATGTAGGATGTAAGAAGGCTACTTTACAAGAAAGATTGTTAAATATTTCATTTTGTCCAAAGTACCCCCCTGGGTTTTGATTGCATAATGACTGATATTAATTTTCTGTTAAAATTTCTATTTCACAGAAGTTGAGCCACTTGTAAAATTTCTGACTTCAATTCAAAATGGCTCAATTGTGCTGATGGCATCCTACGATGAGCCAGCATCAAGGTACAGTATCAGTTGGTCTATAATTTCTGATTGCCTTCATGTCCATTATGCTGCAAAATGTACTGCCAGATTCTATGCAATGCAACTAATTTGTGGGCTCCTTGTGGTAATAATAAATTAGACCGGCTCATTTGTCTAATTACATCACAGACTTAACGATGAAGCGAGGACACTCATCAGTCAGCTTGGCAGTTCACATATTTCAACACTAGGGTTCAGAGATAACTGGATCTTTGTGGCAGGAAAAGGCATCAAGAACATAAAGCCGCTGGAGAAGGTAAAGTCAAAGTGCTTGGTGACTTTAGGCTCGTGTGCAGCTGCTCCAGAGTGTGCCGTTCTATTGCCAATGCTTTACTCTGGAGGTTATACAAGCTATGTGTGCACATATGAACGTCTGTGTCAGCAATGAGTTTACCTTAAAATAACTGAATTCACTAATTAGAAGGGGTGTCTGCAAACTTTTTTCCATGTAAAATATGATTAAATCTGTCAGTGATTTACAGTCTGCCGACTATCTCTTTCTTTCAGCATATAAAGAATGACAAGTCAGTCAACAAGTATGACGACTGGCCAGAGATGGTAGAGATGGATGGCTGTTTACCACGGAAACAAGACTAGGACCAAGATAGCAACCCATTTTCCACACAAAACTTTGTAAAGCCAATTATTTTTGTCTTCAGCATCACCACTTGGACGAGTGGATCAGACACACCAGTGCTGCTGGAGCTTTTAAACACTGTGTCCACTCACTGTCCACTCTATTAGACACTCCTACCTTGTAGGTCCACCTTGTAGACGTAAAGTCTAAGCTCATCTGTTGCTGCACAGTTTGTGTTGGTCATCCTCTAGTCCTTCATCAGGGGTCACAGGACGCTGCCCACAGGACGCTGTTGGCTGGATATTTTTGGTTGGTGGACTATTCTCAGTCCAGCAGTGACACTGAAGTGTTTAAAAACTCCAGCAGCACTGCTGTGTCTGATCCACTCGTACCAGCGCAGTACACACTTACACACCACCACCATGTCAGTGTTACTGCAGTGAGGAGAATGATCCACCACTCAATACCTGTCCTGTGGGGGTCCTGAGCATTGAAGAACTGGTTAAAGGTGGAATAACAAAGTATGCAGAGAAACAGATGGACTACAGTCTGTAATTTAGAACTACAAAATGTACTTATATAGTAAGTGGAGCTGATAAAATGTTCAAAGAATGTACATACAAGGAGATGGTTTCTATGTTATGGCTGATCGGTATGACTTGTTGGTTTGCTACTTTGCTTCTGTGCTCAAATTCTCAGCTACTTTACGAATACATCTATATGGGTTTTTATGTTCCGTTATAAATGACCATTATTTTGTTACTTATTTTGTGATTTATAAAGACTATCTTTCTGGCAAGCTATTTGTAGGGTTGTATAATGAAGTATAATAGTTTTGCAGAATGTATAGCTGTTTGATATTTCTAATTTAAAATACAGTTCTTGCCTCCTGCATTTAAACTCAGCAGCTATCTAATGTTGTAGTAGCCTATTAGCTCATCATCAGTCCATGTAAAGAATTCATTAAAAATGTGTTTATCTTCTGCTTTCGTTTCAGTTTTCTATTAGTGAAGAAAATACCAAAAATCTTTAATAAAAAAGTTTTAAAAAAATACTTTTTCGAGTTTCGATCATTATTTATGTCTCTTACTTAAACGCAGAGTGTGTGTGTGTGTGTGTGTGTGTGTGTGTGTGTGTGTGTATGTGTATATATGTAAATCATTATGCGTATTCCCTGCGCAACAATGATCGCAACAAGACAGGGGATGCGTCCCGCCTACGCAGGCTGGAGGCGAGTGTCCCAGAATGCAGAGCGAGAAGTCATGGACCAAAATGGTGAGCAACAAGCGAATAAAACAAAGTGTTTTTAAAATCTGCTGCAAGTCTGAACTTCCCGTGTTGCTTTTATTTCAGTTGGCAACATTTCGCTGCAACTATCAGCCTGTAGTTTATATGAGGTTGTTTAGACTCTGAGTGAAAACAGGCTGAGCCGCGCGCGCCACATTCACTCAGCCAGCTAGCCGGGAAGCTAACGGGAATGCGCCGCTGCTGTTGACATATTTTGAGAAATGTGTTCAGAAAATAAACGAGTTCGGCTTCCTTATCTGCTTCAAGTAGAGCTGGGTTTGTGTGTCGGCTGATAACGGCCCGGTGTGGATGTAGAGAATAGTAGCTGTGTAGTAATGAGGGATGCGAAGCTTCCAGTGCAGCGTTCACTGACAGTGAAGCGGATTTAGCCGCACTCGCTAAATATGTGTAGCTTTATTTTGTTTCATTTTGTTTCATTTGGGTCTAGAAGTTAATCGATAAATTAATATTTTTAGTATTTATGTTGAACTATTTTATTGGCAAATACATTATAAGGGTAAGGGGCAAAAGAGCAGATCCCTGTTTTTATCAAAGGTGTGGAGTGTTATTTGAAATCTTTGACGATATCTAGCTCCTAAAATAAGCTGTGAAAACATGCATGTGGAATGTATGCTCTAATTTTGGCATTTTTCTATAAACTGTTTTGTCGTCCCCGTTCCGTTATTTACTTTCTATTTCTATTTTATTTTTATATTTCTCTGGTTTTAGTTTATTCCAGTGTTTGTTTTCTCCTATCTAACCGTAATATATTTTTTTCCTTGGCTAAAACGTATCATACTAGCTAAAACAGTGCAATGAACAGCGTTTCTATTAATTTTATTTTGTGCAAAGATTTTACACACACACACACACACACACACACACACACACACACACACACACGTGAAGCTAAATCACTTTAATTTAGTCTACAATGAAACCGAAAGTTCACAACTGTGATTTGGATTCCATAAATTTAGCTGGAAATAACACACATCCTTTACATCTACATCGTGCAGAGGGACAGTGTTTCATAACTATATGTCCACTTTTGTGTAAGTAAGGATTGTTGGCGCAGCGTGTTTAGGCTTCTTCTTCTTCTTCTTCTTCCTTTCTATTTTCTTTTTACGTATGACTGAGCTTTCAAGAATTTTGAGCTAGCAGTTTGACTGCTACTGCTGTTTTGCTATTTTGCCCATTTACAACCTGTGAACCCTAGGCTTATTATTCAGTTATAAGGCGTAAGACTTATTCAACTACTGATATTAATTATTTGGTAACTGCTCTGAAACTAATGTGTAATTTATATGGTTATAAGAAGGAAGAACTGATTAACGTAATTAGTTAAAGGATTAACATTAACAGTAAAGGTCAGTTTCCCTGACAGGGATTAAGCCTAGTCGTGGACTACAATGCATTCTGAATGGAGATTATCTATTAAAAGTAAATGGAGTCCAGGACTAGGCTTAATCCCTAACCAAGAAACTGACCCTTACTGCTAAAGGCAGGCAGACTTCTTGTAATGGGCTAGGATTGTCTTCATTTGTTTGCCATGGCCCATGTCCTGTCCTGGAAAATGCCATACTCCAAGCAAATCAGTACACCAGTGCACTAGACGCTATTTAGTGGGTTTTGTAGACAATGATCTACAGGGAACTGATGGTTCAGGGATTCTTGGCGGTCAAGGCGTTCGGCGACGGATTCCCATCAAGTTACTGTCCAAACAGACTATAAGAAGCAAGCCTGCTGCCCGACCCCAGCGGCCCAGTGCCAGGCTGCCATCCAATGGACAAAGTGATGAAGGTAGGCGTTATGTACTTACAAGAATGATGGGGGAAACGTTATTCTAAAACATGACTAGCTTTTGTCTTCTTTGATTACAGGGTGGTTTTGTTAAATTTGTTTTAATATTGAAAATAGATTTTAGGTTTGCCGGTTTGTCTCCTGAGTCTAAAACTCTGCGTCTTCTGTGTTTTGTAGAGCCTTTTAGCTGTAAGCAGGAGGAGAGATTTGAGTGCAAATCTGGAGATGCTTATGGGAGCCAGCGGAGGTTTCCCCATCCTTTATTCTGGGACTATAAGGTAACTGCTTTAGCTGCACTTTGGGATGTCCTTACCACTGCTACAACTGTTAGATTTGAAAATATCTTTTCTTTTTCTAACTGAACCTCCTTTTTTCCCTCAGCTTAACTTGGTTGGAGAGAAGGACGACACCCCAGTTCATTTCTGTGACAAGTGTGGCCTGCCCATTAACATATATGGTCGAATGGTAGGAAGAACATTGTTTTGTAAGACTAGACTATGCATATATCGTTATATAAGTAATAGTTGATACTTTGTCTTACCAATTTCAATTTGAGATATCTTGGGTTGTGCATTATTTAAGCACAGAGACTAATCTGATTTGGAAAATTAAAACATGTTTATTCTAGGTATAGATTTTGTGTAGTTCTCAGTCATCTCATCCAAACACTATATAATGATCTGTCGTGTTTAAACAGATTCCCTGTAAGCATGTGTTCTGCTATGACTGTGCAGTGCTGTATGAGAAGAAAAACGATAAGATGTGCCCAGGGTAAGTCTTTTACTGTAACCATTTCAAATGCACTGTTGTGTGTACTTTTAATTTTAAGTGCTGCTATTCATAGTTTGTGATGTAAACTGTAGATGTAGAAATTGCCATTGTATGGATGTTTAGATTTGACCACTATTGCAAACGCATATATTTATATATTTATTGTACTTCTTTGTACTACTTCTATTGTACTACTTTACTATGCTAACATATCTGCATTTTATTCATTTCACTGCAGTTGTAACCCTCTAAAAATAAATGTTATGCTTCTCTGTAAGGCTAAACCAAGTAGATCTAGTGCAAATTTCTCTGTTTAATATATCATGTTTCTATATAACAGTTAGACTTTTTGTCCGTGTTTGCATTTAATACAGGCATTGTGTCTTAAAGGGCCCATATCGGAAAACAGAATTTCCCTTGCTTTTTTTTTTAAATAAGTGGATGAGTTTGGTGTAGTAAATAAATATTGTTGAAGTTTTAAAACATGCTGTTCGTTCCCCAGTCCATGCAGCTCATATAAGTTAAATAAGTTGAATGTTTCAAAATGTTTCGTTTTGAATTAATGTTTTTGTGATGTCATTAAAACCATCACATTTATATACACTCTATGGCCAAACGTATGTGAACACCTGACTGTTAAACCTATATAAGCTTGTTGGACATCCCTTTCCAAAACCATGGGCAAAAATGTGTAGTCGGCCCTGCTTTGTGGCTACAACAGCCTCGGCTCTTCTGGGAAGGCTTTCCATGGCATTTTGGACTGTCTGTGAGAATTTGTGCCCATTCGGTCAAAAGAGCATTTGTGAGGTCAGGCTTTGATGTTTGATGAAGAGGCCTGCTTCACAATAAATGTTCTAATTCATCCCAAAGGTGTTCAGTGGGGTTGAGGTCAGGGTTCTGTGCAGGCCACTAGAATTCCTCCACACCAAACTCATAAAACATTTCTTTATGAAATTTGCTTTGTGCGCAGGAACACAGTCATGCTGGAACAGGAAAGGGTTGCCATAAAGTTGGAAGGATATAATTGTCTAAAATCTCTTTGTATGCTGTAGCATTAACATTACCCTTCACTGGAACTAAGGAGCTTGGTCCAAGTCCTGAAAACGGCACCAGACCATTATCCCTTCTTTATCAAACTTTGCTGTTGGCACTGTGCATTCCGGCAGGTAGGGTTCTCCTGGAATCCGCCAAATCCAGATTCGTTCATCGAACGGCCGGTTTGTGAAGCGTGATTAATCAGTGCAAAGAACACGTTTCCGATGCTCCAAAGTCCAGTGGCGCTGAGCTTCACACCCCTCAAGCAGACACTTGGCATTGCACATGGTGATCTTAGGCTTGTGTGCAGCTGCTCAGCTATTGAAACCCATTTCATGAACCTCCTGAACCTGCTTGGGACTCTGTAGTGAGTGATGTCACAGAATATAAGCGCTTTTTTCGCGCTACTTGGATGCCCCACTCTGTGAGTTTGTGTGTTCTACCGCTTTGTGAGCTGTTGTTCTTAGATGCTTCCATTTCACAATAATAGCACTTACAGTAGACCAGGGCAGATGTTTCATGAACTGACTTGTGGCAGATATGATGTACTAAGACTGTGCTGTGTTTAAAGTCCTTGAGCTCTTCAGTTTGACCCATTCTGTTTCCAGTGTTTGTCTATGGAGATTGTTAGCGATGGGTGTGGCTGAAACACCTGAGCTCAATAATTAGGAGGAGTCTCCACATGCTTTTGACCATTTAGTGTATACAGTTTACCTCCGGCCATTCATGCAGACATTATATGGAGTGTTTTAGCTCAGACACCTTTCTGAAAGAGGCACACTACTGGGCACCCAATCAGAACAGAACTCATTTCCATATATCTATCTCAACGTTACAGTATTGCTTAAAAGAGATGAAGAAGGGCTGGAAAATGAGCTGTGACTGATGTAGGTACATATAAACCACACAGATGTTAAAAGTAAATATCAGGGGAAAAAATAATAAATGCGAGACAAATGTAGTATATGGGCCCTTTAATGTAAGCCGCAGTGTGAACTGTATAATTGTGCGCTGGCTCCACTTCCAATACTAAATTCTAAGTTCAGTTTGTCCCTGTACAGCTGCACAGACCCGGTCCAGCGCATCGAGCAATGCCAGCGTGGCTCCCTCTTCATGTGCAGCATTGTGCAGGGCTGCAAGCGCACCTACCTCTCTCAGCGGGACCTACAGGCCCACATCAACCACCGCCACATGAGGGCGAGCAAGCCCGGAGGCTCGCGGCCAGAGCCTGCCCACCCAGTCCCTTCTCCGGCCTCGGATCCGCCGGACCGCTTCCGCTTGCCGCCACCACCTCACCTGCCCAAGGCCCACCCTTTGATCCCTCCCCCATTGCAGGGTCACGAACCATACGGGCAGCTGCCCCCAGCTTCGCCCTCTGCATCAGACCTGGGGCCCTCATCACGAGGCCTTCCCCCAGAGACCTTCCGCATAGCCACTGTGACCACACGCAAGCACAGCAATCTCATTACTGTGCCCATCCAGGACGACTCTGGTGGCTCTGGCCCCTCTCCACGCGATCCCCTTCCTCAGACCCCACCAGGCCCGCCCCCACACCACCACCCCGGGGACTACCCAGGTCAGCCTGTGGTGTCCCACCCTCACCACATCATGCCCCCACCTCAGCAGCAGCATTACGGTCCTCCTCCACCACCACCTCCCCCGCTCAGCCACCCTATGCAGCATCCTTCCCAAGCCTCAGCTGCTCCACACATGGTCTACAACCAGGCGCCTCCAATGTCCACTGCCCCACCTCCCATCACCCCTCCACCTGGACATATCATCAACCAGATGCCTCCATTCATGAACCACCCTCTGCCCGGGCCACTTTCTCAACACGGGGGTCCACCTGTCAGTGCCCCTCCTCCTCACCACTACAACCCTAACTCCATGCCACAGGACCAGGGCACCCTCAGCCCACCCTTCAGCCAGCCTGGAGGCTTGAGCCCAGGCATGTGGCCTGCTCCTCGAGGCCCTCACCCTTCACGCTTGCAGGGGCCTCCACCTCAGGGCCAGATGCCTGGGCCCCACCACCCAGAGCAGGGCCGGTACAGACCGTACTACCAATAACACTTGGTCTGTGTCAGATTTATCTCACAGTTTGGACGTTGACAATATCACTCATAATTGAATTCATTTCAGTTCACTGGTGGAGCTGTGTGCGTGTCTGTGATGATAACGTAATATGATTCACTTGCTGATGTTTTGTATGAGCGTACCCTGCTGCTTACTGTGTGTTTCATTGTGTAACATGAGTTGAGTAAGTAGTTGTAAGTAAGGAAAATAATGGTGCAGTGCAGTCAGATGTCTTATTTGCTACAGTTACTGAGGACATATTTTTGCTTGAACACTTTTCGTAACACATCAGAACATTTTAAACGTTTTAAAGAATCTTGTACCCACCGACTGCAATAAACAACACTTGAACACATGAGCGTTTTTCTTTTTCTTTAAAGAACACCTATGACCATGCAAAGAACTATTTATGCAGACAAATGAGTGTTCTTGGTTCTAACTAGAGCCATCACCTTTACTAAAGAGCCCTTGAGCATTTTTTAAGAGTTTGTCTAAAGGGAAGTTCAAATGACTTTTAAATATTTCTGCATGATTAAATTATGATCTTACAAAATCATTTGTGGTTTTGATGTGAAATGTGCCGTTCTTAAAAACAAACGAGTCAGAATTGCTCACAGTGGAGGCGATAGGGGAATGGGAAATGTTGAATGCCTCTAAAAGCTACATCACAAGAGGTTGTTACATGAAATGGTTACGAATATGTTGCCTGTTACCTGAGACAATGTTTTATGCCAGTTTTAGGATGGTTTTGGCTAAAAATATATATTTTTAAATCCATTCATATCCGAGAGCTACACGTAAGGTGCTTTAGAGAAAACACGTCCCACTCAATTTATTCATTTATTCTAATATTTTATATCTTCTACTATTTTGGTACTTTTCTACCATTATCAGAACTCAGAAAAAACAGGTTAGTTTACTGGCTGTTTTAGATAGTATGTAAATGCCCAAATATGTGTTGTAGATGTCGTGATGCCTGGTTCCTATGACTACCACTGTAATGAAATCTTTACAATTAAGCATTTCACATCAAACCACTCTAAATGGCTTTGTTTCACCTCATTGACTGAATTGTGCAGGTATGATCTGTGGAATTTCTCTGTAAACCTATTTAACTGTGTATTTAACCAATAGGAAGATATTAGGAAAAGTTAATTGAGCAGATAAAAGTGTAAGTCAACTGACAGACATTTGTATTAAATTACACCTTTTTATTCCATTGTACACGGTGTAGTGCTTTGGACCAATTCATGAACAATTGAATTAACTTGAGAATGAGTGTAATGAGATGTGTTGGGGTGGGAAGGTCATAGATCCTCTGCAAGGTTGGTGCTGTTCAGAACTGCAGACCTGCCGCCCCACTCGAGTTTGTGATTTGTCCACAGGGGGGCGTTGCTTACAACATATTGATGCACATTTCCTTGCCTGCTCTTATGTTTGTATATTTAGGAAATACATTCTAAACAAGGCTAATAGTAGTTAAAGCAATTCACAAGACCTGCATAATTTAGTGGTAGGGATGCAAACAAGGATATTCAGAGCAATTTGATATGAAAACATTAATTGCAGAGAAACTTAATGACTGATTTCTTTCCAGTGGTGGTGATAGGGAACAAGATGTCACAGTGTCTACGATGCAAATCATTTTTCAACACTTCTCAATAATAGAACTTCTTAAACTTACACAGTCGTATGCAAAAGTTTTAACACCCCTGCTCAATTTACATGTTATAGGGTTCTATATAGCCCCATAAAGAGTTCTTCTATTATAAGCTTGACATCATTGCAATAGAAAAACCCTTTTCAAAAGGGTTCTATATAGTACCATATGTAAAACATTTCCATCAATATGAAGAACCGTTTCATGATGCAAAGAACCCTTTAATCATGCAAAGGGTTCTTTGAGTGTTCATGGTTCTATATAGAACTTCTTTTTCTTTCAAAATGTCAACAAGCAAATTGTTCCGTAACTTTTGCGCAGGCCATATTTTTGTTTTATTTTCCAAAAATGTGGCCTGCGCAAAATGTATGGCACGTTTTATATCTTGTTTTTTTTCCAAGATGTTAAATAAAAACTGTGCCATAACATTTGCAGAAAATGCCACTTTTTAAATGTAAATGCCTTCGATTTGAACTGTTTAAAAACTGTTTAAAATCACTAAACATGTAACTAGACCATGAGACTCTCAGTTTAATCGCATCTAAAAAGAACTGTTTTCAGAAAATGGAACAATATGAAACAAAAAAAAATAGGTGACAACCTGAATTGTTTCAAAATATCGGTTAATACTGTATATAAATTGTATGTAATTGTATATAAACTAATGCGTGTAGATGATTTTATGGAAGGTATGAAATCTCAGTTCAGGAGCTGGTTCATGCAAATGCCTCCTGGAGGAGGAGCAGAGTCACTAACTGAGAGAGAGAGAGAGAGAGAGAGACATGCTGCAGGCTGTGAACTTCTGGAGGACTCATGCGCCCGGAGTGTGATTCGGACACGTTTGGATGATATTTATTTTGGGGGTGAGATGTGAGAAGCCATGGATTTACCAGTGAAATGGATTTGGTTCGGAGTGCTCGTTCAACTTCCACTGTATGGATGCTTCGATCTCCACTTTCCGGAGAGTCTTCAGCCCGGAGCGGAGCTGGTGAACGTCTCCCTCGGAGCAGGATGGGTGTACAGAATAGACAGAACACTTACAGCCAAGTCGATCGGACGCTCGGTGAGGATCGGCAGCACTGATGGAGTTGTGTCTCTCGCGCGGAAAGTTCACTGCTCGCGCTTCACGAGACACCCAGCTCCGCTGTACTTGAGGATAACCTCGTTATTGTCTGGAAACGTTGTGCTGATTCATTTCAACACGTTTGTTCATGGACAGAATTGCTTTATCAAGTACAAAAGAAAGACACGTCGACTGGACGCTTACATTGATCTCCATTCTGGATATGGGGCGTGCTTTAACTCGGGTATGTTACCTATAAGCTTATATGAACATTTACCAGCTTTTGCACGGCAATCGCAACTGCTCCTGTCTACCTGCAAAGAGGAAAAAGTTTGTGAATAATGAAGTCTCTGAGACTGAACAGTGTTTGCCTCACCATGCCATTTTTCACTGCACAGTACCCACTTTTCAAGACAATGTGCTATTTCTCCAAGTGCGATTGAATTTTAGGCCAAATCGTGGTCAGAGTTGGGCTGTGAGCAGTGAACAGTGGGTCAAACGTCTGAAAAGAAATGTAAATTCAGCCCCACAGTTCCAGTTGCCCAACTACCAGGTTTCCGTGCCTGAGAATGAGCCCTCAGGAACTCGGGTCATCACCCTTAAAGCGTTCGACTCAGACGATGGTGATGCAGGTGTTGTGGAGTATGACTTGGAAGCTCTGTTTGACAGCAGATCTAACGACTACTTTCAAATAAACCCCGAAACAGGTGGCATCACCACACTGCAGCCTTTAGACAGGGAACTGAAAGACACCCATGTGTTTAAAGTCACAGCCACCGACAAGGGGACTCCAAAAAGGTCCGCAACAGCTTATCTCACAATCACGGTCAGTGACACCAATGACCACAGGCCTGTGTTTGAACAGACTGAGTACAGGGTTAGCATCCGCGAAAACGTAGAGGTGGGTTTCGAAGTAATGACCATCCGGGCCACCGATGGAGATGCTCCATCCAATGCCAATATGATCTATAAGATTGTGAATGAAGCCGAAGTGAATTCCGGGTTCGAGATAGATCCGAGGAACGGTTTGGTTAAAATCAAAGTCCGTCCAGACAGAGAGGTTCAGTCAAAGTATCAGCTGATAGTGGAGGCTAACGACCAAGGTAAAGACCCCGGTCCACGCAGTGCCACAGCCACCGTGCACATCACAGTTGAGGATGAGAATGACAATTATCCTCAGTTCAGTCAGAAAAGATACGTGGTCCAAGTTCTCGAGAATGTAGCTGTTAACTCAGAGGTAGCTCAGGTGAAGGCCACTGACAAAGATGCTGGCAATAATGCCAAAGTGCACTACAGCATCATCAGTGGGAATGTAAAAGGCCAGTTTTACATTCACTCACCCACCGGTGTCATTGACGTCATCAACCCTCTGGATTATGAGATGATCAGGGAGTACAATTTGCGTATAAAAGCTCAAGACGGCGGTAGGCCGCCTCTCATTAATGGGACAGGTATGGTTGTAGTGCAGGTGGTGGACGTGAACGATAATGCCCCTATTTTTGTCAGCACCCCTTTCCAAGCCTCGGTGCTGGAGAATGTTCCCATCGGACACTCTGTGATTCACATTCAAGCCATCGATGCAGATTCGGGGGACAATGCTCTGTTGGAGTACAGGCTCACGGACACGTCACCTAGCTTTCCTTTTGTTATCAATAACAGCACAGGGTGGGTTACAGTCAGCCTAGAGCTGGACCGAGAGACCACTGAGTTTTACACATTTGGCGTGGAGGCAAGGGACCATGGGGTCCCTATAATGTCATCTTCGGCAAGCGTGAGTGTGACAGTATTGGATGTGAATGACAACGTCCCTACCTTCACCCAGAAGATGTACAACCTAAAGATCAACGAGGATGCTGCTGTTGGGGCCAGCGTGCTCACTGTAACAGCTGTGGATAGGGATGCAAACAGCGTGGTGACCTACCAGATATCCAGCGGGAACACGCGGAATAGATTTGCCATTACCAGCCAGAGTGGTGGTGGGCTCATTACTTTAGCCTTGCCGTTGGACTACAAACAGGAGCGCCAATATATCCTCACATTGACGGCCTCAGATGGCACACGGTTTGACACTGCGCAGATTTTCATCAACGTTACAGATACCAACACCCATCGGCCTGTTTTTCAAAGCGCCAATTACCAGGTGTTAGTGAGTGAGGATAAGCCAGTGGGCTCCACCGTTGTCGTCATCAGTGCTACGGATGAAGACACTGGTGAGAATGCCCGCATCACCTACATGATGGAGGACAACGTACCTCAGTTCAAGATCCACCCCGACACAGGTGCCATCACCACTCAGATTGAAATTGACTATGAAGACCAAGCTTCCTACACATTAGCCATTATCGCACGTGACAATGGCATCCCTCAGAAATCGGACACCACCTATGTGGAGATCATAGTCCTTGATGCCAATGACAATGCACCCCAATTTCTGAGGGACATCTACCAAGGCACCGTCTTTGAGGATGCACCCATATATACAAGCGTTCTTCAAGTGTCGGCCTCGGACAGAGACTCAGGGTCCAACGGCAGAGTGAGCTACACTTTTCAGGGAGGGGATGATGGTGAGGGGGATTTCTTCATCGAGCCATACTCAGGAATTATCAGAACAGCCAGGAAGTTGGACAGGG